GGCAGACTTATTTATTTATATTTTTTTTTTTTTTGTCAATGATATACATTAAAAAAAACAACATTTTTGTGCGTTTTTTATGTAATATTTATATTTTTAACAACTATTTTATTTATTTATTTGTTTGTCTAATTATTGTTATTTTTCATTTTCTATTTATTACTGTTTGTTTCTTTTTTCTGTTCATATTTTGCTATATTTTAACCTGTTTCTTGTCATGCAAATAAAGTAGTGAGGCCAGATTTTATTTTAGAATTACTTTTATCAAAAGAAAACATTAAAAACTTTTTTCTATTTTTATTTTATTTTATTTGTATTTTTTTATTACTGTTTTTTTTTCTGTTCATAATTTGCTACATTTTAACCAGTATCTTGACATGAAAGTAGTCTTGGTTTCTGTCATGGCATTTAATTATAAAAAAACAAACAAGCATCATGCTTTTATCACCGTAACTCGCATTCAAACACTCTGCTGTTTCTGTCCCAATTGACATCTAGCGAGTTTGTGTTTATTACCTATTTGTCTTTCCTGATCGTCTCATGTTGTGTCTCAGTCTGTGAGGTGAATCAGATGATGACGATGACTGTCACTCTTATTTTCAGGCTTCGTTTAGAGATATGCTGGCCTGCGAAACTCCTGAATCCTGATGTGAGATTGAACCCAGATGTGTTTTCAGACAGAATGATGCTCAGCAGTTTGAGAAGAGCTAGAGATCTGCTTTAAGACCAGACTGAACAGACATGTTGGACAAACCATTATTTTTGATAGGAATGCAGAATTTACATAACATAATTTATTGTACATTTTCAATTTCCTTTCAATAATGTGTTGCCTTAGGGGCACTTGTTTAGTTTTGCATGACCATTTTCTATGCGTTCTCTGACTTAAGAAATAATTGATGTGTGTCTGCAGGAGGAAGTGCTGTGAAGGCTTCAGGTTTGTGATGGGTCAGTGTGTGCCAGAAAGTAGGTAAACCTTTCGTTCAATTCTCATATTGTCAAATTATTATAGTGTTTTTTTTTGCATGAGTATTTCAAATGCATGTTTTTCAAAGTCTCTTCTGCTCACCAAGGCTGCATTTATTTCATCCAAAAATACAATCAAAAATTTTGAAATATTATTTAAATTTAAAGTAACTGTTTTCCGTGTGAATATCTGTTAAACTGTAATTTATTTCTGTGATGTGCAGCTGTATTTTCAGCATCATTACTCCAGTCTTCAGTGTCACATGATCTTCAGAAATCATTCTAATATGCTGATTTGCTGCTCAAGGATATAAAAACCATGATATACTAGCATTCAAAAGCTGATGTAAGACTGAAAAAGAGAACATTTAATTTATTCATCAAGGATGCATTCAACTGAAGTGACAGTAAAGGCATTTCTAATGTTACAAAAGATTTCTATTTCAAATAAATGCTGTTCTTTTGAACTTTCTGTTCATCTGTGAATCCTGAAAAATAAAATGCATCACAGTTTCCACAAAAATATCGTGCAGCACAACTGTTTTCAACATTGATAATAATCAGAAATGTTTCTTGAGCAGCAAATCAGCATATTGTATTTATGCACTACAGAAAACGGTTTCATCATTATTTTTGGCCTGTTCTTCTGAAACAAATTTTAAATGTATATGTAACGTATATGAGTGTGCTAAATGTGATTTGTTAACTGTTAGCTGTACATGAATACATCTGTGTCCCTGGAGCACAGTCGCTGGGGTATATTTGTAGCAATAGCCAACAATACATTGTATGGGTCAAAATTATCAA